AGACTGGACTGCGGTGGTACACTCACAGCCACCACAGCCTCAACCTGCTGGGCTCAGGTAATCCTTCCACTTCAGCCTTCCAAGTAGCTGGAACCACTGGTGCGTGCCACCACACCCGGCTAATTTTTTGATTTATTGTAGAGACGAGGTCTTGCCACCTTACCCGGGCTGGTCTTGAACCCCTGGGCTCAGGCAATCCTCTCGCCTCCACTTCCCAAAGTGCTGGAATTTCAGGCATGAGCCACCACGCCCGGCTTGATATAGTATTTTTTATATAAATGGTACATATCTCACATGTAACAATTAGGGAGTAGAGATAGGTATAAGAAAAATGTCAAATTACTTCTAATTCCCACTCTATAAATATATGTACTTATTCTTATTTAAATGTACTTTTTTTTCCTCTGTTGTTGGGAATATTAGGTCGTTTCCAAGTTTTTGCTGTTATGAATAATACTGTACTTAATACCCTGGGATATTTGTCTATATTTCATGCTGTTTCTTAAGGATAGATGATCGGAATTGGGGACTTACTGAGATGAGGAATATGAGCAGTGTAAGGCTCTTGATACGTAGCCAAATGGCTTTCTAATACCTGGCTGTATCCACGGGAGCCCCATACCTGGGTTTACAGCAATATCCTCTCCCTGGGCATAAAGATCTACACCATTTTTTTTTTTTTTGAGTTGGAGTCTCACTTCATCGCCCAGACTGGAGGGCAGTGGCCGCTCCCGGCCACCACAGCCTCGACCTGCTGGGCTCCGGCGATCCTTCCTCCTCAGCCTTCCAAGGAGCTGGAACTACAGGTGTGCGCTACCACGCCCGGCTAATTTTTGATTTATTGTGGAGATGAGGTCTCACCAAGTTGCCCAGGCGGGTCTCGAACCCGCAGACTCAGGCAGTCCGCTCATCTCGGCCTCCCAAAGCTCTGGGATTACAGGCTGAGCCACTGAGCCCGGCCACCGGGCATAAAGATCTAATCATGCCATGTCCTTGTTCAGAGGGATGCCTTTGTCACATCCTCCCTCCCTTCTCTCACGTAACACTTTCTCGCTTAAATTCTGGCTTGATAGCGATATTGCAGCTTGTCCTGCTCATTTGATCAGACGTGGTTACAGGCCCTATGCGTAGGCTTCTCTTCGTCAATCCTTTGTGCTGTGCTGGTTTCAGTGTGCTTCTGGCTGGATCTTGTTTAATCAAATCTGGGGCTTTGATGTGTGTTTACACAGGGGAATTTAGGTGGCCTTCTTTCTTGACAGGATTGTTTTATCTGGTCTGACGGTTGAGATGATGTTTTCTTCTTCCTATTTATTTATTTATTTTTGCTCTTCAAAAAAATCTATTTGGCATTTTACTTCTTGATGGTCTGCTCTGTTTATGTCGTTGATTAGGATTTGGGAGGTAAAAACCCTCGTTTTCATTGCATCTAGTGACTTCATAAATACACGATTAGCCAGGCACAGTGGCTCACTGTAGTTCTTGGGAGGCTGAGGCAGGAGGATTACTTGAGCCCAGGAGTTCGAGTCTGTAGTGGGCTAGGATGGAGCCACCACACTCCAGCCTGGGAGACAGAGTAAGATTCTCAAAAAAAAAAGTGTGTGTGTGTGTGTGTGTATATATATATGTATATATATATATATATACATATATATATAACCATGTACACATTTCAAATATGGCATTCACTCAAAAGATGGTGTTAATCAAATGAATGCTAGCATCACCATGCAGCAGGCAGGACAGTCAAGGAAAATGGCAGACGCACGGTTGAGTCAACATCATACTATACATTGCTATCGTAATTCAATTCAACTTTGAAAACTAATACATAGATAACAGCTCTTAAAATGTGTATACATTTTTTGGTGCCCCCTTTATGTGTGTGTGTGTGTGTGTGTGTGTGTGTGTGTGTGTGTGTGTGTGTGTAACTAGTATTCTTAATCCTATTTTTATACTTAGCTAATAAAAAACACATCCTATTCCCTTTGGGAATAACATACATTATTAAGATTTTTGGCAATATTTCCTATACTTTATTGACTAGATCTAGCATTGTTGAAATTAAACTACTAGAGGTTACCATTTTTACTCTGTAACCTTAATGCTTATTCTAAGTGATCCTCACTCCTTTTCAAAACGTCCCTATTCAAGAATTCTTTTGCGGGGCTCGGTAGCTCAGCCTGTAATCCCACACCTTTGGGAGGCTGAGGTGAGTGGATTGCCTGAGCCCGCGGGTTCGAGACCTGCCTGGGCAGTGAGACCTCATCTCTACAATAAATCAAAAAATCAGCCGGGCGTGGTAGCGCATGCCTGTAATTCCGGCTACTCGGAAGGCTGAGGTGGAAGGATTGCCGGAGCCCAGCAGGTCGAGTCTGTGGTGGCCGGAAGCGGCCACTGCACTCCAGTCTGGGCAACAGAGTGAGACTCCAACTCAAAAAAAAAAAAAAAAAAAGAATTCTTTCTGTGAGTTCAAGCCTTGATTATTTAGGATGAATTCTTTTCTTTTTTTTTGAGTTGGAGTCTCACTCTTTCACCCAGGCTGGAGTGCAGTGGCTCGCTGCTCACAGCCACCATATCCTCGACCTTCTGGGCTCAGGCGATTCTTCCGCCTCAGCCTTTTAAGTAGCTGGAGCTATAGGCATGCACTGCCAAGCCCAGCTAATTTTTTGATTTATTTTAGAGACGAGGTCTCGCCAAGTTGCCCAGGCTGGTCTTGAACCCCTGGACTCAGGCAATCCTCTCATCTCTACCTCCCAAAGTGCTGGGATTACAGGCATGAGCCACCGCGCCCAGCTTAGGATGAATTCTTAAAGCATTCTTTGCAGGAAAGGTGGTCAGCTGGTAACATTCCAAAACTGGGCAGATTTCAGAATATCTCCCTCTGGCTCTGCAGATGAGGAACTTGTCCACTGGATGCAGAATGTCCAGCTCAGGTCCTTCCCTCTGGGCTCTGAGGCTGGTCTCTTGGCTGAGCATGGATTGTGGTGGGGGGAAACTTGGAAAAGCTTCATGTCCACACCCTTGGAAATAGCTTGTCTTCCTTGAAATTCAGCCAACCAGTAGCACCTGTTGCTCCCTGGTCAGGCGCTGTTAACACAGCTCGCTTTTCTGCTTGATGGCTCCGAGCAGCCTTCCTGCTGGTGTTTGTTTTTTGCCACCTTATGTCTTCATGTACATTTCTAGCCACTCACTTGCCCGGTGCCCACCGACCGCGGGTCATGTGTGGTTTCAGCGCCTGCTGGGAAGAACCATCGATCCTTGCAACACATCAGGCTGCCAGGACCTGACATATTTCTCGCTGCACACTTGTCTCTGTCAGGGTCTGTCCCGTGGCCAGGGCTGGCGGTGGCACAGAACACCCACCTCTGCGCCGCCCTCCCCGCCCACGCCCTTCCCCCACTGCCATGTCTCATTCTCTCTCTACCATATTTCCCATTGGGCGATTGTTGCTGATTAATTCCCAGACAGAGTGATGGATGGCTTAATTTGCTTTCCTTGAGATCCCGTTTTCCCTTGCCTTGCCAGGGATGGGCAGAATTCCAAGGTGCCCGGGGCAGGTGGCGGGGAGGGCGGGGTATTGGTGGAGGAGGCGGGAGACCCAGGATTCCGACACAGTGGCACCTCACCCTCTCTTCCTGGAGCCACAAGGATGAGCGGAGTCTCCTCCCTTCGGCCTGAGCCTTTTGAACCCAGAGACTCCCCGCTTGGGTTCGAAAGCTTCGGAAAGGTTTTTGCTGATGTCTCATGACAAGCGGAAATTCTGTCCCACGCCACAGAGCAGAGCTTGCAGAATGCCCTGCTTTTCATCTTGTTCCCAGAGTCCCCTCCTCATGTCTCCCTCTCTGGTCCCCTGAGACTCCCCTCCCGTCCTCTCCTTCTGAGCGCCTGGCCAGTCTCCTCCTCTCAGGGAGGCTTGGTGTTGTGTCCTGTCATTTCCCCAAGGAGCAGCAGGAAGACCCAGGGTTCAGAGAGTCCTCCTTGGAGGAGGAAGGAGGGAGAGGAAGTTGTGGGTTCTTCTTCCCTGAGACTTTATCCCTGTCACAGCAACAGCAAGAACACTACCAGCGCCACCACTGCCACCATCATCACTGTCACCACCATCACCGTGACCGCTGCTACCGTCACCACTGACACCACCATTACCACCACTGCCATCACCACCGCCACCACCATAATCATCACCAGCACCATCATCGCCACCGCCACCACTACCGCTACCATCGCCAACACCATCGCCACCACTGCCATCACCACCACCACTATCAGCGCCACCCCCCCCACCACCACCATCTCCATCTCCCCCATCATCACCATCTCCCATCCATCACTTCACCGCCATCACCATCGCCACCGCCATTGCCATCGCTAGCACCACCATCACCATCACCACCATCGCCACCACCATCATCACTATAACCGTCATCACCGTCTCAGTCACGGCACCTACTGTTTTATTATCTGCTGCGTGACAGGCACTGTGCTGAGCGTTTTGTATACTTGTTGTCACTTAACCCTCACTGTGCCCTTATGTTTCTTGGCACAGCCTCGAGTTTCCCAGGCTGCACATATTTCTCACTGCACGCTTGTCTCTGTCAGGGTCTGTCCCTGTGGCCAGGGCTGGTGGTGGCACAGAACACCCACCTCTGCACCCCCCCCGGCCACGCCCTTCCCCCACTGCCATGTCTCGGTCTGTCTCTCTACCGCGTTTCCCATTGGGCGATTGTTGCTGATTAATTCCCAAGCAGAGTGATGGATGGCACAGCAGGGCCAGGGTGTTGGGGAGGGTCTGAACATGTATGTTGTCGCACGGAGATACTACAGTGACCCATTACACTCAGGGAGGCCACAGTGCTAGGAAGCAGTGAAGCCAGGGCCTGGACGCAGTCTCCGAATCCACAGCCCGCCACTGGCTGCGGGGGCCACTTCCCTCTGCACTGCACATTCACTGACCTCACCGCCCCCTGTTCCTTGGCAGCCCCTCAGCACCCCTCCCTCCGCAGGTGTACGAGGCTGGGAGCAACGTGGACCAGTTCGTGACCCGCTTTCTCCTGAAGGAGACGGCCAACCAGATCCAGTCGCTGCTGAGCTCCGTGGAGAGTGCCGTGGAGGCCATTGAGGAGCAGACCAGCCAGATCCGGTGCGTCCCACCCCAGGGGGCACTGTGTTCTTGCTTGTGTCCCCGAGAGCTGGGTAACCTTGGGCAAGGTGCTGCCCTCTCTGTGCCTCTATTTCTCCAGCCATAAGATGGGGACGTTTATCAACCTAAATCCTCCGTCTCATCCATCTTGCCACCCCCCATACCACATGTTTATGTGTAACTAGTCTACTGTTTGGCCCACTTTTAAAAACTGGAACTAAGTGTGGGAAACCGCATGTAACTGGAGAGTAAGTGTCTCACGTGGTGAACGAAGGAACCGTAGGAATAAGCACCTGCTGTTTCCCACAGCCGGCTTGGTCCCAAGACCTGCTCCCTCTTCGTTAAAGAGAGACTGGGAGATCTGAGAGGCATCAAAGACAGGGTGGTACCAGCCTAAGGCCTTCTCAGGAGGATTGCAAGAGAAGCAGAAACATGTTTTCTCGGTGTTATGTGGTGTCCTGCGACGTTTTGTTTGTGTCCTTGGAACTGTGGAAGAGCATCGGGGGCCCTCCTGGGTGGTGGGTGCTGTGTCAAGATGGCACCCTGGAGTTTTGAGGGGAGCAGTTCTTTCCTTCCGACTCAGCAGTGCTGGTCCCCTGGGGGCCACACACCCTCCCATCTGCTGTCCCAAGCGGAGATAAACCCCCTTTGCTCAGTTCTTCCCAGATCTGCTGATGTGCCCCGTGCAAAGGAAATCAAGAAAATACAAACTGACCAGAGCGACAGCCGGGTGACTGTGCCCGGACTCTGCAGAGCCTTGAGTTTCTTGGTACAACCTTGAGTTTCCTAGACAGGGAGGCACAGCAGGACCAGGGTGTTGGGGAGGGTCTGAACGTGTGTGTTGTCGCAGGTGAGGAGCTGGTCCCAGTCATGCACCATGGTGAGGGTCACTCCGTGATGGCACTGTTCCCCAAGTGAGTGCACTGGGTGCCTGCAGCCACATTCCCTGGGGTGCGGCCCTCTGGGTCCCCAGTCACACCCAGAGGTAGACTCCTGGGGGAGGCGGAGCCCAAGACTCTGCGTCTGTGGTCAGTCTTGTGACTCGCAGGGTCCCCAGAGTTCACAGCCACCACTCTGGAAGCTGACACTTGGAATTCCTTTGTTTTCTGTCACTTTTTTTTTTTTGAGTCGGAGACTCGCTCTGTTGCCCAGGCTGGAGTGCAGTGGTATGCTCACAGCCACCACAGCCTCAGGTCTCGCCAAGTTGCCCAGGCTGGTCTCGAACCCGTGGGCTCAGGCAGTCCTCTCACCTCAGCCTCCCAAAGTGCTGGGATGAGCATGAGCCACCACGCCCTGCCTTCTGTCACTATCTCGATGAAAAACTTCCTGAGGTGACCCTGCCATGGAGCAGATAGTATCGCTGTGCAGTCTTCACAGCTGACTCCCTGGATGGTGCCAGCTCCATCACGTGGTGGTGATGACATCTGCCCGCCCCCGCATGGGGACCTCGCTCTGAGGCGTTGGTGGAGGGGGCGGCATGTCGTGACGTGATGGGGAGATGAGGCTGCTCTGTTTTCGCCCCTCACCCTGCTCGATCTCGGCTATTGCGGCTCCAGGCTGTGGGTCCCCGAGGGCCATCCTGTCTCCCAGCCCGTGGTGGCCTCCCAGGATGTCGCATTCCAGGCACAGGCTGCTGGTTCTGACCCACAACCCATGCCCCCTGTGAGCCACACTTCATGGTCCAAGGGACACATCTAATTTGCTGCAGATTCTCAGAAACACCATGATTGACACTGCAAAGACTCCGCCAGCCTCTCCCCTCCCGAGGGGGACTGCAGTTTACTCCCCTGGCACAGGAGGGGGCCTTGGTGATAGAGTTGGGTTCACAGGAGACAGATTCCAGAAGGCACCATGGCAGCAGTGCCCAGAGACAGGCTGGAGGTGCACAGGGCGCTGTGTGTGTGTGTATGTGCGCATCTACGTGGATTTGTATGTCTGTGGTGAATGTACCAGCATCCCTTTGCACATGCAGGTCTGATCGTTCACCGAGCATTTATCGAGTCCTTACTGTGTGCACAATGCTGGGTGAGCAGTGTGCATGCGGCTCTCTGGCTGGTTGCGCCTGTCCAGGCTCACAGGGGTGTGTGCTCATCGCGTGCACGGGGCAGGCGGTGGTGGGGGTGGGGGAACAGACCATGAGACTGGGCCTGAGGCCGAGATCACAGTTATCTGTCCTGCTGTGTCCCAATCTCAATGTCTCTTAGGGCTCCCTTTGTGTGGGGTGGGTTGGGTCTAGAAAACCCCATTTCCCACCCCAGAGGGCACGGATGCACGGATACCAAGCTGGCTTCTGGTGAGGTGGAGGAGGCTCGGCAGGTACCTGGAGATCTGTGAGTCAGCCCTACCCTGTGATCTCTCGGGAACAGGGCCTGAGTCACCTGCCTTGTGGGCCCTGTTTCCTCCTCTGTGAAAACGAAGACCACAGGGCCCGCCTCACGGGAATAGGGTTCTATAGGGCAAGTTCTGTGCACGTTCCAGCCTATTGTTGGTGCCTAATAAATGCCTATTGAAAATTTAAAAATAAAGAAAAAGAAATGAATGCTTGTCGAAGCCACTCAAGTGGCCAGGCCCTGCAGCCGCCGTTATCTGTGTGTCTTCCCCGCTCAAACTGCAGACAGAACCACGGCAAACCCGGTGTGGCCGAGACCTGGCATGGAAGCCCTGCTCTCCCCTGTGCCCCCAACCACAAGCCCATGGCCACGGAGCAAGGGAAGGGCCTTCGGGCTGGTGAGAGAAAACAGTGGCCTGCTGGGGGTACTAGGAGTTCTGGGAGTCCTCTGATGGGGACTGGGGAAGCAAGAGGCATGTTTAGGGATGGGGGGTGGGGGCACTGGACACACCTCACCTCCCCCACAGGCCTGGCCCCGCCCACCATCAGGGTCTCTTTTTCCCCCAGTCTCTGAGGACCTGAAGGAGGAAGGCCTGGAAGCCCAGATCAGCCGGTTGGCAGAGCTCATTGGGAGGCTGGAGAGCAAGGTAAGCCCGGCCAGGCGCCCACCTCCACTCCTCACCCCCCCAACCCCCCAGAGGGTGCAGTGAGACCTGGAACTGAGGACGGAAGTCGGGTTGTAGAGGGCTCAGGGGGCCGTGGAAAGACATCACCAGGTGGGGCATGGACCTGGGGAGGCCACACCTGGCACCAGAGCCCAGGACCCCGAAGCTGCTCAGGCCCAGGAGGGGTGTCTGTGGGGAGGGGCGTGGAGGGGTGGCAGGCTGAGGGGTATGTGGGCAGGGAGGGGTCACCAGGGTCCCCACACCCAGCCACCACACCCAGCTAACTTTTAAAATTTATTGTAGAGACGCGATCTCGCTAAGTTTCCCAGGCTGGTCTTGAACTCATGTTTAGTGGCTTAGCACAGACCCCCTTGGCCTGGGGTGCCAGCGGTGGTTTTGCTCCCAGGTGGAGGCTTGAGCATGTGCTGGCCACACGGTAGCGCCAGGGTGTGCGAGGGCCATGGCGCATCAGGGGAGAAACAAGGAAGCAACCAGCAGCAGGGGCCTTAGGCGTGACATGGCACCACTGCAGGTCATGAAGTGGCATGGCCCTTACAGAATCGTGTTTCCATAGAAGGCGTCATGGCTTGGTAGACAGTGCTCACACTGCAACTGTTCCGTGGGGAAAAGAACCCAGTTTGCCTTAGGATGCTTGGGTAGGATGCTGGCAGTGATCCCAGCATTTTGGGAGGCAGAGATGAGAGGATTGCCTGAGCCCGTGGGTTCCAGACCAACCTGGACAACTTGGAGAGATCTCGTCTCTACAATTTTAAAAATTAGCTGGGCGTGGTGGCACACACCTGTAGTCCCAGCTACTTGGAAGGCAGGAGTACCTGAGTCCTGCAGGTTGAGGCTGCGGATTACAGGTGTGTGCCACCACACCCAGCTAACTTTTAAAATGTATTGTAGAGACAAGATCTCACTAGGTTTCCCAGGCTGGTCTTGAACTCATGTTTAGTGGCTTAACACAGACCCCCTTGTCCAGTGTTGACAGTCATCATTAGACATTCTGTTACAGACCTGTACACCTACACCACGCCTGTATCCCTACATAAACCTGGATGCAGGTGTCTCTCAGGATTGAGGTGGTTTTACGTTTCTTCTTTTCTGTATTTTTTTACACCTTTGCAAAGGGTGTTACTACTTTGATGGGTTTGGGGGTTCATTCTGAGAGATTCATGAAGCCGAGTCTGACCTGCAGGGAAATCTGAGGGAGCCATGCCTTCCCCCCTGCAGGGGTGAGGGCGAGGTGGGGTCGCTCCTACCCTTTGAAGCCAGCTGTGGGAGCAGCTCAGGAGGGACCCTGTGGCTTGGTTGTCATAACAACTCGGTGGGGGCCCTCTGGAGGGAGGCTCTTTGAAGCTTATTTTTAGCGCTTTGGTCGCCCTAACAACCGGGCTGGCTGGTAACCATGGAGCACCTGGGCGTCCTGGAGATGGGCGGGACCCTCCTCCTGGCCTCTGATTGGTTCAGGCCTAAGGCAGGAGCCAGTAGAGGCCTGGCTCTGGGCCCTACCCTCCACGGGCCAACCTGTCCCGCCTTCCTGCTCTTCCAGGCTGGGAGGATGGAGGTTCCACTGTTGGCCAGGCCAGGAGGAGGAGGACGGGGCAGATGTGGGTGCCACCATGCCTCCCCCTCCTCCCAAGGCTCTCCCGGCTAGAAGAAGCCACACAGGGACTAGCTGCAGCTCAGATTTTTTTTTTTTTTATTTTGAGCCAGAGTCTCACTCTGTCATCCATCCTGGAGTGCAGTAGCACAATCATGGCTCTCCACCGCCTTGACCTCCTGGGCTTAAGCGATCCTCCTGCCTCAGCCTCTCGAGTACCTGGGATTACAGGCATGTGCTACCACACTCAGCTGATATTTTTATTTTCTTACAAAGATGAGGTCTCACTATGTTGCCCAGACTGGTCTCGAACTCCTGGGCTCAACCAATCTTCCTGCCTCAGTCTCCCAAAGTGTTAGGATTACAAGCATGAGTCACCACACCATGGTCACAAACATTAAGAATTTCCAGGCAGAGACTGTGCAGGTCACAGCCTCACCCAGGCCGCACCATTGTCGGTGACAGCCAGCCCCTCTGCCTCACATGTGCTCTTGTGTGATGCCAACGGTCGTCTGTCCTCATGGAAGATGGACAGGGATAGGCACAGAGGTGGTGATCACTGGGGTGCCCAAGTTCAAGGAAGAATCATCACGATTCTGTGTGTCAGGTAGATACCGGATTCAGATGCACGCTCTGACACCCAGCTTTTCGCCTTCAGAATCAGGGTCCTCTGTGAAAAACTGAAAAGGCTCTAGGCTCGGGGGACACACAGAGCTGACATGGCTTCCATGTCCTGGAGCTTACGGTGGGGCAGTGCCTGCCTCAAGGTGTCAGAAAACGAAGTAAGGTGGATTCATCAACTGTTTAGCTCGGGGCCGGGGAAGGCCCAAGAAATAGATCATCCCATTCACACCATTAGCTTCTGAGGGGTCGAGTGTTAGGAGCTGGGGTGAGCCATAAGTTGATGGAGATTCTCTGGGCTGTTGCCTACAGTTGTGGCAGAAACCCAGCAACCTGAACTCAGGCCTCCTGAGTCCCTGCCACTGCCTCTCCCAAGACCTCCTCCCAACCCCCAGCCAAGTGCTCAGAGCCTCCTTCCTGCCCTTTGATCCCAGGGCCCCCAGATGCCAGGGCCAGAGGGATTCTCTGCCACTCACTAGGGTCGCTCCCAGACCTGCCTTCCTGGGTCCCCTCTGACCCAGCACTGTGCACAGAGGGTGGGCTGAGCCCTGTCCAGCAAGGCCTGACCCCTGGGAGCTCCCACCAGCCCAGGGACCCCAGAACCCCTGGCACCGGGGACAGAGGGCCTGGAGCTCTTTGGTGGCCCAAATCCTCCTGTGTCATCATGGTGGGTCCTGGGGGCCTCCCTGGAAGAGGCGGCGTCTGTCTCTAGCATCACTCTGTGCTTTGTTGTTTCAGGCACTGTGGTTTGACTTGCAGCAGCGCCTCTCAGATGAGGAAGGCACCAACATGGTGAGGCCCCTTTCCAGAGACCCCTCCCTCCTCTCTGCTGGAAACCCAGCCCTGCCTCAAAATTCAGGTGGCAGCCGGGCTCGGTGGCTCAGCCTGTAATCCCGTACCTTGGGAGGCTGAGTGGATTGCCTGAGCCCGCGGGTTCAAGACTCGTCTGGGCAATTTGGCAAGACCTCATCTCTACAATAAATAAAAAAAATTAGCCGGGCGTGGTAGCGCACGCCTG